TGTGCTTGTCAGGCAGGTGCTTATTCGATTGAGCTATCTCCCCAGTCCTACTGTCTCAATTTAATCCTGGAGAAATTAGCATATCCTAAAAGATAATACTGTGATGGGACTCCTGGACACTTGTGCTCAGTTTCTTTTGAACTTTGTACTATATGCCTCTTCCTTTTTCATTTTACTTTTTATCTTTTAACTGTAATAAATCTTATTCATGATTACCATTTATGCTAAATTTTGAGTCTTCCTAATGAATCACTGCTGGACAATAGATCCATTTGTATGTCTTAGAGTACACAATATACTCTTAAACACAGGAGGCATTCATTTTTGCAAGTGATTTTATGCATCATCTTCTTAATGTATCCAAACCTGAAGATGTTTTGCATTTCCGCTTCATTAGCAGTTAATAATGGTGAACCACTTAAATGACAAAAATATGTAATAGAAGTAGTGCACTTTGAATGACAAAAAGGTTTCGACAAGTTCAAGAAACAAAGTTGTGGAGACTGATTACTTTAACTAGACATAGTCTGTAGGCTACAAATGTTCTCTATATGTAAACTTCCCAGAACATTTCATAAGTGTTCTTAATTTGATTTTCTTTTTTTGTCTATTAATACATCTTTGGAATTGAGCAAAAAGTAACACACCTCAGTAATGTGAGCACTTTGTCCAGCTTTCGCATTATTTGCCCACTGTTCTGCGGCATTTCAAAGACAAAAGCTATCCATGCGTCTTCGTACTTTATGTAACATAGTTCCTTTAGAACTATATCCCCCTTATTAGCCAAATGACAAAGACTGCAATAAAGACACAAAAGAACTAGTATGATAAAAAGGGAGCTCAAGGGATGAAATGAGTCCATCACTAGAAGAATATAAGTTAAAGAAAGCTCCAACCCATGCCTGAAGAAAAAGTATTTTTTGATTTGGATCTGTCATGGGGAAAAGAAAGCTGCTTGCAATTTTAAAAGCAGCCATCATTATGTAGCACAGAGACTTTATTTAAATGTTGATTATGTACTTCAAAAAAGCAAAGAAATATGGAATTTTCACCAAACAGCAATGCAGTGACTCTTCCTCTTCATCTCCACAGGAAAAAAATCTTAGTATCAAATGTATAATTTATCAACAAATATGACAAGAGTATTTAAAAATATTGCTAATGAAGAAAATATAAATCATAAAATTGGTGCCTCAAAACAGCTTTAAAAGAAGCACAAAGTTGAAAGCAATCTCTAGAATCTGCCAAATCATCTCCTTAAAACACAATGCGGTATATCTCTTCCAGATCCAAGAGAAAAACATGACTCTATCATCACAGTTAGCAGAAGGGATTCTCTGCTGCAGCTTTTGGGAGGTGATTAAAGTACAGTTTAAGGGAGTTCAATCTGACGATTCAGGAGTTTTCTGTCAGTTCCAGTCATCCTCAATGTGCTTAGTATGTTGAGGTCTCTCCACATATTTCAGTTGTATTCTAGTGGCTCTGTTCACTGCCAGTAACATCACAGGCAAAAGAGAGCTACTACAAAGTTTGATTTCATTCAACAACTTTTCTTTTGATATCAACAGTTTATAATCTTGTCAAAATTTCCACAACAGTTAAATCAAGATTCTCTATGCTGTTTCAGTTCTACACCAAACCACCTTTACTAATCACCTCAAAGTTTCAAAACAAAAGCATTAGTTTTCTCTTTAAAAAGAAAAAAACTTTTGTCTCTTACATTTTAAAAACACTTTATAAAGACAAAGATTCTCAAATTCATGCCAGTTCAATAATACAAACACTGCTTGATGCCCAAAGCAGAGACTTTTGTATTATCCCAAAACAGTTTCCATTATATTGAAGTGGCTCAGTTACCACTACTGTACACAAATTTACAAAGAATTACAATAACATATTAGGTTTTATAAGTAACATAACAATGAAACATCCTGAGTGTTATCTGCTAGTTTAGACAAATTTTAATTGTGCTTAACCATTAGGTAAGGTGTACAACTCAGACTAAACAGTGTAAAAACCAATAGCACACAGATAATTAAGGTATCATGAAAGCTGGTTAAAATTTTACAATTAAGAGAGAACTAGTAAAAATATAGCAACCTGGATGAAATTGATATTCATTAGGGTACTCTTCACATCAATAGGGAGCATTTGGACTCTGTGGTCTTTATCAGTGTCCCAGCTGGTAATGGTTGAAGGTTAATGCCTTACCCCATTCTGTTCAATTTTCTATCCTAATTAGCCCTCCAAATCTATAGCTGTGAGCACCAAGTGTCTGTCCTCAAAAGAAACTAATTAATGCTAGCAAATTAGATCAAGTCCAAAGATCCAACAGCCAAATTCTTAGTTAAATGCTCCTTGTTAATAGGAACTGTAGCTGTCAATAACTGCTGTTGGTGACTATAATGAGACATCTTTCTTTCATTTGAAGTGATTTCATTTTTCTTTATCCCTGGAAAAGCTGTTCCATTCCCTTTACAAACCTACGTTGCTGGCAGACTGACCCAATTCTTATGATCAGCTGAGGTGAAATGACATGAAAAAAAAAGAAAAGAAAAGCTTTCCTACATAGTGTTTCAGCATTTAGCAGAAAGTCAGATCACTTATTAAATTCCTATATCTTTATCTAAAAACCATATGATTAACATGTATAATGCCTTTATGTAAAATCCTTGAATTATTTAATAAATCAAAGATAGATAAACAGTAAGTAAACTACAATGCAAAGGTCCTGATTCTAAATTATACCTTATTGTATCACTAAAATACTAATTTTTTCCCCTCAGCAGTTATGTGTACTCTTTCCTAATCCACATGATTTAATGGGCAGAATATTAAGGATTTATTATTCTTTTATAAAATGATCAATTTTACATTCTAAAACACTGACACCATATGGCCTAAAAAATCAATATGATTATCTACAAGAAATTGAAATATTCAAAAATCAATTATATTACAGAGTACTTTCAAAAGGACAAATGTATTAAAATAATCCAAACAAAACTCAAATTTTAAGATGCTTTTAGTCTTCAGAAAATTAAGTGCATTTTTTAAAAAATTTTGCCATGTCAATATGCTAAACAATCCACAGTCTTATAAAAACTGGACAACTAAAAGTTTTTTTTATATACCACTGTCAAATAGGGGCTATATTATCCACACAAAAAATATTCTAAAGTTACAATCTATTCTTCTGTTTCAAAACAATGTTTCAATATCTAAGAATATGGAAAGCCAATTCTGAAGCCCAAAGTCATACAACCATTTTGCTCTTTCATTTAAATCACATCTGTAAAAATTAAGTATACAACTGAGTTAGTTAGCTTTCATTCTAGGTATCAGGATAATGTGTTATAAAACAAAATGAATACAACTTATTATAGTATAATGATTTACTAGTATAAGTAGCAAGTGAAATTTTTTAGTAGTGAGAAGTCAACCCAGTAACTTTATTATCCATTTTTAAGTTTTATCCTCCCCTACCTTAATTGGGATATATATTTTTAAAGTTGTACAAGGCAGATGGTAGATTACTTTTTGAGACTAACACTGGCCAAAGCTAGATATGCACTAAACTCCATCTTTAGGTGCCAACAAGTGAATTTCTCCTGACACCTGGAGCTGGGGATGAGAGAATATAAAGGAAAGTACTCTGAGTAAATAATGTATTCATAGAAAAAGCAAGAATAATACTACAAAATGATTATTTATTTTAAACTACTAAGTTACACATGGATTTCAAAATGGAATGGGCCCTAATAAGTCATGTAACTTAAGCAGAAAAGATCATCACACACCGTGAGGATCTACTCTTACAGTACTGTCTCCATCCACGGACTGCAAAGATCATCTCTGTAAGGGTCAGAGGTGGAGAAGGAGACAAATTTCCTAGCATCCAAACACTGACACAGTCTTGAAACTAGAGTTGAAACAGTCTGATTTTTCCCATAGAGAAGCCTAAAGTGGAACTACAGCCTATTATCCTCACTAAAAATTATTGTGGTCCTTCAACAATAAAGACAAGGCAAGTGAAGAAGGACAGGTAGGGAAGAGAGTATGTTGGTAAACTTTTACAATTTTGTTTTGTTTCAGTGGTGCTGGGGATCAAAGGCAAGGAGTCGTGTACACAGGCTCTACCACCAAGCCACATCCCCAGCCCTTCACTACTTATTTTTGATAGCTGTGCAAAAAGGCAGAGAGCTGGGGCAATAGCTGAGTGGCATAAGTGCCTGCTGGGCACACACAGGTCCTGACTTCCATCCCCAGTACAAAAAAAAAGAACCAAGACAGAATCTTTAAAAAATCTATTTCTACAGTAATACAGCTTTTCTACTTATCCATGATTTACAGGTGTTTTTGGTGACCTCATTTTACCTATCACTGCTTTGTTTAATTTCCAATACAAAGTTATATAAAAAATGTTTCTAGATTTACAATATATAAGAACATTTAATATTCAAAATAATTTCAAAACACATGCATATGAAGATGACTAATGCATGCATTTTTACATAAGTATCTCCTATTTAGAAATGGAAAAAAAAACAAAACACGCACCAAAAAAACACAGACTTTATTGTAGGCCTTACTAGGATTCATTAACAATTTAGTAATAGACAATGACACTAAAGAAAATCATCTTAAGTGTGTGTATGTGTATATACATGATTTAGTATTTGTCCTTTCCCTATCAAAAATCACCAGAGTAACTTGTCTATCTCCAGAATATACCAAGTTTTTCCTCTATATAAAGTATATATTTGGGAAAGAAATAGTTTTTTATTAGTAATTTAGGGAAATATTTCTACACTGTATATGAATTGAATACTGCTACTGCCTGGAAGTTCTGAAAGCTGAAATACTTACATCTCAATGAAAGGGTGAGAAGCAATTCATACATATTAACTTGTAGACTACTTAATTCTGAAGCTAAGGATTAAATTCAGATCATATTATTAAAAATGAACTTAATCTTTACAGGAATATTTGAATCTTACCTTGAACTTGTTCAGAACACCTCTCTCTGGCCTTTTCTCTCATTATTTTAGGAATCAAAACATCCTTTTCAACGTGTCTGAGATGCTGATCTGAAAAAAAGATCTTTATTATAGTTAAGACTCAAGTCAAAGGATCAAGGAAAAAATAAGCACTCCAGCTTTTTAAAACAAAAAACCATTCAAGTCTTTTTCTAAAAAACTCTTTTAACATCTGATAAAACTGATTATTTTGGTCACTTAAAAAATCATTCTAATACTGTTGGATATATAACAACAAACTGTGAGGGACATAAGGGACATCTTTCTAAAAGTTTCTACAAGCTATACTACAACACTTACTTGATAATATATTCCAGGTTGACTGATAAAAATTAAAGTCTAAATCAACATTATATTAATAGAATCCAGAAAATATTTTATTAATTCTAAGATCCAAGGATAGATGAAGAAATACAAGATTTTTTTAAAAAAATTAAGTTTTTCCACCAAGTACTAACAGTTGCCTAAGAAAGAATCAGCAGAAGAAAAAGCAGAAGTGCGGGTCCAAGGTGACACACTACAAAGTGCGAGACATTTCTGTACATTAGACACAACCTCTCCATTTGACTGAAATGGCGAAGTGCATGACTGCTACAGATCACACCTGCTTCTTAAATGCTGGGAAAGCGCTAAAAAACAAAGAAGGGGTAAGACTACCCAGTGAAAATACAATGACAAGGAATTTGAAAGACAAAAGGAAGATGAAATCAGATTAAAGGAAATAACTGTAATTCCATAAAGAACCCAAGAAAAACTCATACTAAATATGAGTACTGTCCCATGCTTTGAAGCAGTAAATAGGGGCAGCAAAAAATTTCATGGAAGGAAACTGAAGTTAATGGCTGAGATAATTCATTGCCTGTACCAAATTGTCACTTTTCTGCTATTCCTAGACCATGGATGAAAGACATAAATAAAATACTTATCTCTAAAAACTAAAGAAGTTTTCCAGTATCCAGTAATACTTATGAAACTTAAACATCTATAGCATAAATTAATTTTGGCCCTTAATATAGGTATGTTATTCTCAACAAATTCTGAAAGCAGGCAGCTATGAATTGAGATGTATATATTTTTACAAAGACTACAACAGGGCATCTCAAAATGCAAACAAAACCATAAAACACCCAAGAATCACATTAATTTTAAGAACAGTAAAATGGAAATAATAAATCATAAATAATAAATTATAAAAAGTCACTTGCTCCTACAATTGTTAAGAATTTTTAGAAATGCATTTAGAATAAGTACAATAAATATACAATAAATATACTCAGGCACATAAAAATACAAATTCACAGGCAGAAACAAAATATGGACTATCTTAATGCATTTAATAAAGTCTGAAGCCCCTAATTCTGAAATCTTCAAAATTTAAAATATTATTACAAAAAGAAAGGAGAATCAGATGTATATTATGTCTCATTGGCAAAACTTGAGTGTAACAAGACAAGAAGAAAACAACTTCCAAGTTTTGGGCAAGAATTTCTTTATAGTAAGATTACAGGAGTCAAAGAAGCCAACTATTAAGAGATGCTTAAAGACATTCCAGATACATAGAAGCAAAACTGTTTACCTCCTTCAAATACAACAGAAAAAAAATTTCCTTACTACTACTATTGTAATATATATAAAACAAACATTTTAATACATTATTTTACTTTTTAGTATGCAGTATTTTGGATTTTCTGATTATGGAAACAGTCTGCATAAAGCTTATCAGTTCCTCCAACATTTGGTTACACCACCTGTGATGGTCAGTTTTATGGTCAATTTGTATTGGCTACAAGCCCCAGTGATTAAAGAAAACACTCATGCAGGTGTTGCTGTGGAAGTCGATTGTGGGCTTAGGCAAAGAAGATGACCCCAAATAATCTTTTTGAGATTTCCCTACACAGTTCAGGCTGGCCTTGAACTCATTGTGTAGCCCAGGCTGGGATGGAACTCGACATCTTCCTGTCTCAGGAAGTGCTGGATTTATAAGTGCATTCCACCATGCTGTCTTAAGGCTTGGCTTTTAAGGTCTTTTGACTGTGCAAGTTCATCCCTTCCTCTTCCTCCTATCCTTGTTGATCCCATAGTTTGGGACACTCTAGTCCAACTTGTGCCACCCGTCCTACCTCTATATGATTTCACTTCAGGGATCCCTCATCTTCCTCTGCATTCCTCAATGTCAGGTAGCTCCCAAACACCAACAGGGACTTAAACCCATAATCCAATGTCTTCTAGCCAATGGTTTTCTTAAAACTGCCCATTCACCTTACAGGCACATAAAACTCCTATTCTTCCTGTATTCAAATCCGATAGCTCCTATCATTTAGTTCAATATTGCAGAGTTATCAATAACGCGGTTATGCAATTCACTCAGTGGTGCCAAACTCCTAGACCATGCTCTCTCATCATCCCTTCCACTACCCACTTTACAGTCCCGGACCTCAAAGATGACTTCTTCACTGTCCCCCTACGCCCTGACTGTCAGCACTTCTTCATCTTCACGTGGACAGGTCCAGATACTCTCCAGTCCCTACAGCTCACATGAATGGTTCTGCCTCAGGGATGCAGAGACAGTCCTCATATCTTTAATTAGGCCCTGGCTACTGACCTGGCAACCCTCAGTCTCAAAGCTAGCACTCTCCTCCAGTATAGGGACAATCTTCTCAGTTCCTCCTCCCATGCTCTAGCCATACAACATACAGCTACCCTTCCTCAACTTTCTCTCGGGTTGTGGATATAGGCTTTCTCCTGCTGAAGCTCAAATTGTTTCGCCAAATGTCAAATGTCTAGGACTTACTCCCACTACTCACTGGATCACTGCTGATAGCAAAGTCCTCTTCTGTGATGTTCAAGTGCCTATTAAAAAACAACAAATCCTGTTTTTCCTTGGTCTAGTTAATTTCTTTTGCCTCTGCATTCCTAATTTTGCTTTCCTGGCTCAACCTCTTTATAAAGCATCCAAGGCTCCTTGTCACAACCTCTCAACCCTACTGCTCCTATGCAATCTTCCTTTTGCAAGCTACAAGAGGCCCTCTTAAAGGCCTCAGCTCTTACTATCTCAAATTCGACCCAGCCGTTTACTTTATAAACTGCCTATCAAAAATATAATACAGTATGAGTCCTGGTACACAAAAAGGGACCTTCATTTCAAGCAGTAGCATATCTGTCAAAACAGCTAGACAACACAGTATGTGGATGGGCCCCCTGCCTCCGGGCCCTTGCAGCAGCAGTCAAGAGGCAAAAAAGTGCACTCTTGGATAATCAATCACAGTACCTAATGAACTCTGTTCACACAAGACACCTCCCACCCTAACAACTCCTTCCTGCTTAAAATAGCACCATTTGGTGCTCATACAGGACCCTTCCCTCACTGTCTCCACTAACAGTCCCCTCAACCTGGCCACCATACTCCCCACTTCTGATGAGGACCCTCACCACAATGGTTCATAGATGGCAGCTCGATGAACACAAACACTCAGAAAAAGGCAGATGTGCCATGGTCAGACGATCTAGGGTAATAAAGGCAAGTCTACTACCAACTAGGACATCTTTACAAAAGGCAGAACTTATTGTTCTTAAATGGGCCCCACACTAGCCAAAGACAAAATCACAAATGTCTATACTAATTCAAAATACATATCTAGAATCCTTCATTTCCAAGTTGCCATCCTGCAAGAAAAAAGTCTAATCAGCATTCAAGGAACTACCATCATCAACGAACCCTCATTCTTAAGCTCCTAGAAGCAGCACAACTTCCAAAGCAGGTAGCAGTCATTCACTGTAGAGGACACCAGACACCATCAGACCTTATTTTTCAGGGTAATACCTTTGCTGATACACAGGGTAAGTTAGCTGCACAACAGCCATACCCTTCTTATCTTCTCTCCCTTGTCCCAAATGCCCTGCCCTCACCTCAATAGTTGTCCAAACAACTTAAATTACTCCACAAAACAAACTGTAGCTGCAACACTCAGGGATGGATTTTCCATGGATCAAGACTACTCATCCCAGATCAACAAGCCTTACTTACCCATCATCACCGTCTTACACAATTGTTTTCACAGGTCACCCAAGCTCTCCATAAGTTCTAACTCCAATCACTACCCATCCCTCCCTAAAAACCATTATTCACCATCACCAGGTTGCCATCTCTGTGCCAAAACCTCTCCTCTGGAATACTTACCTCCTCCTTTCCCAACCCACCAACTTCGTGGACATACTCCACATGAAGACTGACAGATTTTATACACATCTCATCATGAGACCTAAAATATCTTAACTTTATATGCACTTTCTCAGGATGGATAGAGGCCTTTTCCACCACCCAAGAGACTGCAGATATAGTTTGTAAAACTCTTTTACAAGAGATTATCCCCTAATTTGGCTTACCCCAATTTATACAGTCAGACAATGGACCAGGTTTTGTCTCTCAGATTACCCAGCAGGTATCCTCAAGTCTAAACATAGCTTAGCATTTACACATAACCATACCATCCACAGTCCTCAAGGAAAGTAGTAAAGCAAATGGTCTTCTAAAAGTACACCTCATGAAACTTATCCTAGAACTATACCTGCCCTGGCCTCAGCTCCTTCACTTAGCCCTAACTTGACATAGGGCATTTCCCAAGACACCCATTTTTTTAAGTCCTGTTGTGCTTATGTATGGTGGACCATCCCTGCTTCACAACTTGCCTATCTCACAAAACCTTCCTCCCATTGCTGACTGCATCCCAACCTCCTTCCTCCTATACCTTCTGATACAACACGTCAACCTCTGCCTTCCACAACTCATAGATAACACTCAACCAAAACCCCCAATAACTCCTAGAGATATCTCTCAAATCTTCTAAGCCTACCAGATGGCAACCCAAATGGACAGGTCCTCATCTGGTCATCCTCACACAACAGAAACAGCAGTCAAGGTCACTAGCCTTCCTTCCTGGTTTCACATCACAAAAGCTAAGTGGTGTCCCAATAACCCCAACACCTCCAATCCCAAACTCTGGTTTCCAGAGTGGTCGTTGCACCATCTGTACCCCACCTATCTCTGCCTCACC